GGGGGGGATGTTGGGTGTTTCAAACCCAAGAGTTGTTTATAATCCCACCATTTTGCCATATTTTCCTTCAGTTCGCCATTGTATGGCCCCTTATCGCTTATAAATCCTACCATTCTGTCATATTTACCTTCACTTTGCCATTGCATCGGCCAGCTGATTAATTGTCGCTAACACTTCCTTGGCAATTTGACTAATCTGTTGATACGCATTTGCAGACCGCTAGTAGAGGAAGTCGAAAAAGTGACGCAAAGGACCGGGAAAAAAAGGACAGCGAAAAAAAGGACGGAGAAAACAAGGACCAAGAAAAAATTCGTCTTTCGGTATGTCAGAACAGCTCACATTGGTCGCAGTTTCTTTAACTGTACAGCCACGAAGAACTCAGATGAAAACGCATGCACGCACGCACGCCAGTAAGTAGCGGTTCAACTAGACTCTAGCGGAACCGCTGCTTAATGGCGTGTGCAAGGACACAAATAAAGACCGCTAGGCCAGTGCTTCTTCTATCATTCCGACGTTTTTTCTCTGCCTTTAGTGGAACACTGACAACCTGGACAGAGGCAAAATTCAGTTCGCTATAAGTCTTGTCCTCTCCCTCATCTTTCTCATCGTGGCCATGTCGATATCAAACTGGCGTTGTGGCACCGTGCTCAACTCCTGCCTGAATACCTCCGAAAGGAAGTCCTATCAGATTGTGGGAGGCCTCCTTGTCTGCGCAATCTTGCTGAACTTCGGCGCCCTCGGGGCTGTCATTACGGACTGCATAACGGTAACGCCCTGGGCCTGGGCCCTGGGCCCTACTGCCCTGGGGCTGACTTGGCTTGGTGGCATCTTTGCCCTGGCTGCAATTGCCTACTACTTCAAAAATGTGGACGCAACCTACTGTCCTCTGCTGTCTATCATCGGAATGTCCTTCGCGCTGGCGATGGCAATCACTACAAGCATTACGATGTTAAATGAGCGACGAGCTGCAATGATACATGACCAACCAGCTTAACAGAACTGTCATCGTGGATGTATGAATGGAGTGTTTGACTTCACAGACGTATTGTACTGAACCTTCAATTTATCGGCAGGTTTTCCGTGCTTTATTTCACTAAACGGCCCATGGACATTCACATATTCACTATCCCCCGATTGTGTCTAATTTTTTCCAATCTTTATGGTGCGATAGTTTATATTGAAGAATGGAAATAATTTTCCATCATTTGCCAGTTGCAAACAAATCACTTTCATTGTATTGGACCGAGTTTTACCTTGAATGCTTTAAGCCCGCAGCCAAAAGGGGTGTATTCTAAAGAAGTAGGCGAAAGTGTTTCATAAATAGAAAAGGGAATATACGTGGATGTTCTAACGCCAAGGGAGTACCTTTGAGCATATTACGTTACGTAAACAGTCAGAAGCTAGCCTACGTGGGTTGCATTTTGAGTGTCAGTTGGTTAAATGTTTGACTCTGTATATTACGCTGCTCTGGTAAACAGTGTTTAGTGGATATTACCCATTGGATATAATTGGCGGAGGGAGCTAATGAGCCAAGAATGGTCATAACAGTCTCTGATAGTGGAGACCATGCGAGTTCCTGGAAGCCTTTCAGAAGAAGAGGATGCGACCACTGGAACAAGAGTTTTATTCGCAGATAGCGTTCAAATATGCACAGGTTGCATGGTATTTATAGTTTATGGTTGTCATCTGCGTGCGTACGATAATTATCCACTTCTGCAGCCACCGCTTGGGTCTTAATTGGTGCGGTACTGGCTTTAAACTTCGTGTTCGACTCACTAATCGCCACAATTGCCTTGTCAGTGTTGGATGCGAACTTGATAATTGCGCGAAAATTATGTTTACGGCCGTATCAGTTGTTGTTGCTGGGCCCGGCCCTTCCCACGTGACTGATTTTCTTGCTTAGGAAACTTCTCAGTA